AGTTGAAAGCATTTTGAGTCATGTGGACTGCACGCTCTAAGAGTCCATTTGTTGGTGGTAATAAGCTTCTCGTAAACATCAACTGCAAGAATGACTTAGTATTTTTTTACTTTTCATTAAGTAGAAAAAAAAAATGATGACAATGACTCAGATTTTCTTTGTTGCTTTTACTGAATGAAATAGCTGCTCAAAGCAAAACCCAAAATGAAAAAAAAAAAATGAAATTCAGCATCCTGTTTGTTCCTCACCTGAGCATCGATGACAAATATCAGTGCTCCGGTTCCTCTGAAGATCATCTCATAGTCAAAGGTGGGGTCGAGAAAGTCCACCTGGCCAGGGAAGTCCCAGATCTGGAAGTTAACAAAGGAGCTGCTAGAGATGTCATCCTTGTAGATCTTGTTGGTGCTCTCCAAAAACAATGTCTCGTTGGGGGACATTTTGTGGAACACCACCTGAAATGACAGTCGTGTTTGTAATTTAGCAGAATAAATGCAAACAGCTTTTGTAAAACACAGAGTCCGAAACATCTGTGAAAATTACTGTTGACAGTTTGATTAATTACACTGAGCTAAAACATCAGTTTTCAGTTTGGTAATTTGGGACTTTTAAAAAGCAAATTTGTAACAAGGACAAAAACAGAAATTACAGTGAAAACAGGGAAATTCAAACTTCAATAGATCTCCAGCATCGACTCAGCACTAGCTGCAATAATTAGAAGAGCATGAGGTTGTAATCAAAATGTCAATATTGTGCTCACTCCACAGCTAGGCTGAAAAATGCTGAATCATCAAGTTTGGTTAGCTTTAATCTCATCTGTTAACTTATTCATGTACTCAATATTCCTCTAAAAACTGACAAGTACAGAAGCTTGTTACTTTATTTGTAACACGTAACAAGCTTACTTGTTACTTTACAATAATTATTGCTGTAAAGAAAACTATTATTTTCACCAATTATTTAAATTCTTCCTCAACTTTTAAAATTGTTGTAAAGTAAATTGATTAGATTTATATTCTGATATGCATGCAGTATATTATATATTCAAATGTAATGCAGTCTCTCTTTCTTTTCTTATTGCTGAACTCTGCCGCTGATGGTTCAAAAATGTGATACAAGTCTGATATTATTCTACTTTTGCAGTGAGCATAAAACAGTTTTCCAAAGTTGATTTTTTTGGTGTGCAAAATTTGATTTATGTTTTTTAATACAAAGTAAATTTTTATGACTTTGGTTCCACTTTTTTTATTTCATAATTTAATCAAACTGCAGTTGCTAATTCATTGGTTCTCAGTTTTAGAAAAGGAAAACCTTCAGACTTTACCAACTAAAAAAATTAGCTTACTTCTTATTCAACAAAAAACAAAGACACAGAATAAAAATGTTTAAAAAAATATAAAAGATTTCAAATCCATGTTTAGATTTATTCTCTCCATTAATTAAAATAAAAGTTTTTTTCATTCCTCAAATAGTTGAGAACCACAGGTATAATACCTGAAAATATTCACAGAACATATTTATGTCTACTAGTTCACATATGACACTTTCAAGATCGATTTGACAACTTCACATAAAAAGTTATGCATTACTTTTAAAGACTGAATAACAGCATTCTGATATGGTACAAGAACACTGACAAATTTTTCTGTGAAACTTCCAATTTTAAGCATTAATTTGTTTTTCCAAGCAAAACTACTAATACTGTTGGCAGTTTGACTTGATTCAGGCACAAAGCTATCATTTGAGTGTCACATGTCAAACAAAAGAAAAAAAAGGCCAGAAAACTGCAGACTTGCTCATACTCATCTGACGCAAGACGCCACTGCACTCAGCATTTTTTAGTTACATGGTTCACAGCTGTCAACTGTTTGGTTAGGTATTAATCAAAGCTTTGACCAAACGAAGCCTTTAAAGCAAAGGGAAAATAAAAAAGACAGCAATTTCTTGATGAAGACATAGTGTTGCTCCACAGCTGCCATTTTGATTCAAAGACCAAAGGCCAACTAGCAAGCAAGCAAAAAGCCAAATCACATGCTCTCTGAAGGCCTGCAGAGGAACAATAATCTCCTACTGGTAGCTGTGTGGATTAGAAGTGAAAAATGCAACTCTTTACTTTCATTTCTTTGCACTCTCAAATCACGTTGAATTTTAACATAAATAATGAAATATCACAGATGGAACAGCAGCTTCCTATCAATTATTCAACCACAGCATCAAGCTAAAGTAAGATTTTAGAAATCACATTGTAACACAATCCAGTTTCAGAGCTGTTTTTTGTTTTCTGCCAACCAGAAAAAAGGTGTTCAACACCTTCAACTGTAAACAAAACTGTATTGTTTTTTTTTTCTTTCTAATATGCGATTGCGTGGAATTAAATAATCGTACTATATCACACAGAATGGAGAAAAGCAAGTTTGAACGCTGAATGGAAGAGGTTGAAATCTCAAAAAACTCAGTCAAGAAGAATTTAATCTAGTTCATACACAAACATATACAAGAAACATATTTAAGAAGAACTAGGAGGGGTGCTACCATTTGGGGGGGGTTTTCCTCGCTTGAGCTTTTGCTCTTTCTTTACATCACAACTGCAAACTTTTATTTATTTCAACAGGGTTTTATGTGACAGTGAGACAACTTTAAGAGGTACAGTTTGCCAAAAGTCAAAGGGACGAGTGCAAACACCAAAGAAGGTGCTCTGCTAAGGTGTGACCAAAATATATATATATTTTTGCTCACATATAAAGTGGAAAGCATCACCATAAAAACAACATTCCCTCTTTCAAACATGGTGGAGACAGCATTATGCTGTTTGGGGGGATATTCTTCAACAGAGCTGGGGAAAGTGGTCAAAGTTGATGAATCAGCTCTAGCTAGTTTGCAAAGACGAATGGGCAACATTTATCATCTCAAACTGGTAGAGACGTGCCCAGAAAGATTTCCAGCTGTAATTTAACCAGATCAATCAAATTTTATCTGGTAGTGCATTCCAGCAACAAGGCATTTCAAAGTACTTTGCGGCATAAAAACACAAAACAAAGTCATGCAACATAGAATCAACAATCAAAACATTACTTTAAGTGAAGTGTTATTGTCGAATTCTTAATCAATAACGCTTCAAAGGCAACTCAAAATAGGTAAAGTTGCCTTGGAGCTGCTCACCTAATTTACTAATTGGGTGAGCTACTGATTATAATTGGTCACAATGCGTTTTATTTAGTGTTGTCAGAGTAGAGGGACTGAATACGTATGCAAGTCACATTTTAGGATTTAGGATTTGCATTTTGTGTTGCTTTAATACACAAAACTCAGATGAAATACACTAAAGTTTGTGGTTATTAGAGAAAAAATTGAAATAATAATAATAATAATAATAATAAAGGGTGCGATAATCTCGTCTGTATTGATTTAAGACAAAAGGTAAAGGTGTGGCCAGTTTGCTACTGAGTCTTTGGCATGTGACATGCTACTTGTCCTCATCTCATCGACTGTCTCTGTCCACCTGGTTAATAATTATCAGCCGCAGCTTTCTGGTTATCAGCTTATTATAACAATCGCTGTAGTTGCACACATTGATTCACTGATCACAATTATCATTAGCGACATGCTAAACTAAGTTGCTAGCTATTTTAACTGAGTGAAGCCAATGAAAGCGGCCCCTAGCCTCGCAATGCTAACACTTTAAAAACAGGATATCTCTCCCTACCTTCTGTATGGATGACTTGCCGCTTCGCCTCAAACCCATGAGCAGGATCCTCGGCTTGCTGTCTGACGGAGACGAGCTGTCCTCGATATCGGGCTCCTCTTCACCATAACCGAAATCTTTGGGGAACGAGTCCGAAACCCCGTAGCTGTCAGCCAGCTGTTCTACCTCGTACTGAATCGACATTTTGACCTAACAACGGTCGCTTCCGCTGTTTGCACCGACTCTAAATATATCTAAACACAGCTGTGTTTGTCACCAGACTCTATAAACCTGTATTGTTATGAAAACAGGTCGTCAATATTGTATTAGCCTCTTGAAAACACAGAGCATGATGATCCCACACATTTCCTTAGGATTTCCTCTTAGCTGAAAAAAAAAATGCTGATCGTCCCGCCTTTTAATTCTGATTCGTTGCTTAGATTACACCTCAAACGATGATTGGCTGGCGATCCTGTCAGTGTTTTGATGTCTTTCGCTGTCACCTGACTCGTACTCAGACTTGTTTTGTGAACTAAACCGTCTATTCAGGAAACAAAATAGTTGCTTTTGCAGTATTTAACAATTTAAACCAAATCCCGCTGACCAAACGTAATTAAACTGTTTTGTGGTTTCTATTTGTTATTTTGACAGAATAAATATTTATTGAACGTTATAAAATACTACTACAGAAACCGATAGATATTTGTCAAACTACCAGCAGATGGGGACAGACACACGCATTAGTAATTCAACACTTTCAAAGTCTAACGAAAATGTAGGAAATATCATATACATAGCGATTCCGTGAATAAATAATTAACAAAAACAGAAAGAAAGAAAGAAAGAAAGAAAGAAAGAAAGAAAGAAAGAAAGAAAGAAAGAAAGAAAGAAAGAAAGAAAGAAAGAAAGAAAAGAGAAAAAGAACGAATGAAATAAATGAGAAAAAGAACGAAAGAAACAAGCAAAGAAAAAATGATCTTATTCATATATTGTATTTGCTTCTTAAATTGATCAGTGGGGTTTATTTAGTTTATTTTTCTTTATCTATTTTCTTTTTTAGTTTAATCTATAATGACTTGCTTGTGCTGTGATTGAAGCTCAATTTGTGTGTTTTAGAAATGTAATGTTTTTATTTTGTTGTAATTTTGTTAAAGATATCATTGTTCTGTCTTTCTATAACATTTTACCCTAGTCGTAAAATAATCCGTTTAGATTTATCTTATTTATTTAGTTTAATTAATGAAGGTTTTCCTCATACAAATGAGGATCTTACTGCGTTTTACATGAGATACATGAAGGCAGCACTGGGTTCAGTGCAGCTGTATGTTAGGATCCCTGAAAACGAAAGTTAACTTTACCGACCCGGTGGTACTTTACCTATTTGTGATTCGCTACGGTGCCGAGCGATAAACCAAATATATAAGCTTTGCATTCAGTCAGCTTTACAGCCGATATCATCATGGCGCATTATAGAGTAAGTGTTTTTAATGTCGCTTTATATTTCTCCAGGTAAAGAATAATTGTTAGAAATCCTGCGCGCTAGCTGCGCTGTTAGCACGCCATGAAGCTTCAAAGTAAAATAATGTCTTTTAAATCACGATGTTCTCTTCCCACAGGCCTCTGACTCTAAGAGAGAACATTTCAGAAGATATTTGGAAAAAACTGGAGTTGTTGACAGTCTCACCAGTGGTGGGTCGCTTATTTTTTTATCTGCACTGTAACTTCTGGGTTTTTACTATGGAGTTGCAAGTCAAGATGGGCTATGCTGACGCTCTCTATCGCTGCGCTCTTGTTTTGTAATTTATGTAGGACCCTTGGTTATGTTTACTGTTTAGATTTGACAGCGACAGCTTAGTTTTAGTACACTTTATTTATTTATTTTGAGAACTTTTCCTGTTTGCAAAGAGAAGATGAGGTTCCAATTCTCTGCGCAATGGAGCACGGCTCTCAGTCGGTTATGCTGAGATCTAATTAAATTATTGGACTCAGGTGGGTTTGAGTAGAGACGCGTTCAAACCAGAGTAGCAGATGTCTCGTCCCCAAGACTTGACAATTCAGTTTAAATAACGAGACTGTGGCAAGAATTTGGCTACGAGGTGATGGAAATTCTCACTGTATAAGTAAAAAATCCAGTTTCACAATAAATAAATATATATATAAGAATACAATTTCTAACGTGATGTAGCTTCAAATTAAATAAGAAAAAAAATATTCTACCGATTTTAAAGTATGTAAAATTAATTACAAAGTTCAAATTTCGTAGCATTTAGTAAAACGTCCTGAATTTACTATTAGTTTTCAAGTACCTATTGCTTAGAATGATGATACATATTTGCCTTGCTCTTAATAGAATAACACAGGTATAGCTGGCTGCTTATATTGGCCATTTTCCTTTCCTAAATGAAGAAGTATTTTGGAAGTGAGGTAAACATGTCATCCAAGAAACAAAGATGTATATTGTAACCGTTTTCTGCTCCTTTTTAGTTTTTGTGTCTCTGTATGAGCAACAAGAGAAGCCTGCCAATCCTCTGGAGTATCCTTCTTTGTACACGTCTGATTTCACCACCATGTTTTCTTTTTTTGGTGCGGCCAGTAATGATTTCAAATTTTTGTTGAGAACTCACTGGCCGTAGATTCTTTTACTAACTCCTTCCAGATATGTGAAGGAGCATCTTGGTGCTGTTGCCCTGACTTCATCAGACACAGAGGCTCTGCAGCAGGAAGTGAATGACCTGAGGCAGAGATGTGCATGTCTGGAGGAGGAAAACAAAGATCTCAAAGCAAGGGTATGTTTGGTTCTCTTTTTTCTGATGTAATTCTATATAATTGGTCTGAATAGTTATGGAAATTTACCAGCACAATCCACAAGATAGCACTGCTTTCTTACATTTTACTCAAATGAATATAGTTAATCCATCATTTTTATGTGCAAATGGCATTTGCTAGTTTCTATCAGTATTTTGTTTTTCAATGGGATGTTTTCCTTTATTCTTATGGTTCTCATTACGAAAAAACATTAATTGTTCCAATAAAATAAAAGCTAATACCAGTGTTTTCTGTATGTCTTCCTAGCTGCAGCAGTATGAACCTGCTTCAGAAGATGGAGGCACTGCTAACTAGATTTCATCAACAAACCCGTCTTTGTTTTGATAAAGGTATTATTTGTTTTATGCTGCTGTCAGTTTGAATTTAAAGATAGGATGACACTGTAAAAGGTGAAAGCCAAATGTTTTATTTGCCTGTGATGTTTATCTGTAAATTTCAACTTTATTCTTTTCTTATATTCTAACTTATTCTGTATATGTTTGTATATATTTTTCCTGAGTGTTCAGTCTTTACTTAGTAAAATAAGTTCAAAGTGTGGAACCTTGAATGCAATTTATTTTGCTCTTCAAAATGCAACCACATTGTGTATGTATGGAAGTAACATTGTTTGATTATTTGGATTTAGGCAGCCAGTGGTCTGAAACTGGCATGGGGGAAAAAAACAAACCTTCAATTATTATTATTCAATTATTTGCATTTCTCTAGAATACTCCAACAATATTTTAACCCTGATCTTTTATTATTGATCATACAAAATGCATTCAGAAACAACAATACATTAAACTAAAGAAGTGAAAATGGTCAGGGTCCAAGTATGTCTTGCTCTGGACAAGACCACCTTGTCCAGAGCAAGTATGTCTTGTTTCCAGAAACAAAGGTTGTTGCTATTGTGGACAGCTATGTTCTGTTTGCTTGCCAATTTGCTCAGAAGTCAAATTTTTTAAACCCTCACTGCACAGGCCTGAGCCTGTAATTCAGATTTCCACAAGTTTGCACAAAGAGGTTATACAAAAACTGACATTGAAGTTTTCATTGAAAAAATAACTGACATTTACCATAAAATCAAACAAATACTGCAGACTTCTTGATAAAGATACAGCTCCATCTCAATGTATTATATCATTGAAAATCTGATTTGAACTTTAATCCCAAATTGAAGTTTCTCTAGATAAGTGATTATTTTTAAAGGCTTATTTGCTACTTTTACTGGTAATTTAAGAAAAATAAAAGCTTAATTTCTTGAGCCATTAAAAAAATACGAGGTTTTAAAAATTCTTGTTGTCTTTTAGAAATTTGAGAACAAGCCCTTATATGCTCCAGCATTTCTAGAAAGATGCAAAAACAGCATGGGTGTGAAAGGACAGCTGTAAACGCACTCAATCCAGAAAACCTCACAGCTCACTGATGCATATAGGTCATGACCATTTAAACCCACCGGACACAATAGTGACCAAGAAATTAATTTCACTTTCAAGGGCTCCAAAAAGATTATTGGTTAAATTTTCAGTTAATATTCAGCAAATATTGAAAGTTTAGTGTTCAGATAATACTGATGCAGTATCACATGTTTAAAATAAATTACCACATGACCAGAGCTGTTTATATCTTGGTTGTACCTTGGTGAGAAGACTTCCACAAACATCCCAAAGAAGAGGCTAGCAATGTATATTTAAATAGACATACAACAAAGATTTTTGGTGCACATCATCTTGAAAGTGTCTAGTCATGATATACACCTTTGCATTTACAAAAATTGGTTTGGTATGTGAGTAGGATGTGTAAACATGTTGACTGTCACAATAGTGACCGGTGGGACAATACATCTGACCAAGGAATGCTTATTTAAATACATACCATTTTCTTCCAATTTCACACTTCTTCCTTTTTAAGATTCATTTTGAGTGTGGTTCTTGATTTGTTAGACTTAGTGATGGCCAGACAAAGTATACAACAATGCAGTTATGAGAAAGATGGAGATTTTACTAATTTTGGTAGTGGTGGCTTAGACGGGGATAATCCATGCCCGATTTTGAATGCTTATGATCAGTTTATGGGAAAAGAGGATGATCTCCCCCTTCACCAGACATGTGCCACCTGCAAAGTTTATAATGAAGGGACAACTGTCTCTTTGATGTACCCTTTAAAACTAAAGAGGTTTTAAATGAGGGTCTAACACAAGATGAGAAACTACTGGACCACTAGAAAGACATTTTCACAGTAGAAACAAAAATGACAAAGAACTACATATGTTATACTACACAGATAGTTGATAAAAATGACTGCAACATGAAAATACAAGTATCTTGACACATTGATGATAATCTATCAGACAAAAATATTTAGTAAAAAAAACTTTAAAACGCTTCCTTTATTTCAGAAGGAAGCCAGGTCAAGCTTTGCAAAACACACTGTATTAAGCTAACTTTATTTGAACACCCTGATATGAAAATTCAAAAGCAAACAAAATGTCATATTTGGACTTCAGTTAGAAAGTCTCCATGGGGTCTTAGATTAGAAGTATATATTCTAAAATATAATGTTTCTACATTTCCAAACCTACAAAAATGCCCTATTTTTAAAGCTAGTATTTAGTTATCACTCTTATAGAAGATAGAAAAAAACAGAACAGAAATTACAGTTAACTTTTAAATATGTTTAAAAGTTCACCTAAGGTAACAATTTTAAGACGTAGTGACCGATAAGTTGCAATAACAGGTGTGTCCACCATCTGTTTTACATCTTACTTCATTGTTCCTTTAACAGGATAGAGCACAATAAATGAGGCATAAAATGAGACCTAATGATAAAACGGTGTAGTACTTTAGTGTTGCTAATAAGGTTTGAAAATGTGATTTTTGTGAAGAGTAATTTACATTTAGAGGAGTTTTGTTAATACTGGATGAGAGATATTGCTGTAAACAAAACAAACAATGGTTGCCATCAAATCAGTAAATGGAAATTAAGAAAGTTTAAAATATTATCTGAAAAAAATCAAATATGATTTGATTAAATATTCAAAACACCACTTTTTTGTCTATAGTCTTTGCAGTTCTATGAGACACCACTAAATGGCCCTATTATAAACCAAGTCAACATACAAGATTTAAAACTAGAAAAACTGTATCAATATCAAGACAAGTCAAAACAAGCCTCCTGATCAAAACTGTGGGTGAAATCCTCTCCAGTTCTATGATGCAGGAGAGATGAAGATGTTGAAGAACACAGCAAAGATAAGGAAGATGGCATATCCCAATAAGCAAATCCAGAAAAGTGGGTTTTTAAACAGCTTCATATTGAAATTAATGAAGAAGACGTATCCGATAGTCAGCCCAGCAACAATTCCTCCCAAATGAGCCACAAATGACACCTGAAGAAAATATGATAAAATCAGGTTTCAGTTCAGACCTAAAGGATATTAGCTGCTGTTATCTGACTCCACTAAATGTTGAGTAAAACTCACAGGACTAGTTTAACAAACAGCCAATAAACTAAATGGGTAAAAAGGTAAGGAGTCGAGTTTTCAGTAAACATCATTTGTGTAACCAGGAAGCTAAGAATCAACATTGCATTAATGCCTGCATATCTGAAAGCATACATCTGCGTGAATGACAGCTCATCATGAAAATACTCAGTGTGGGTGAGTACAGCAGTCGAATAACTTTTGAAACTTCAGTTTGTTTCTGCGGAAATTCAGAAATATCTGGTTTGCTTTTTATTGCACTGTAGACTTCCTACCTGTACACCTCCCTCTAAATTGGCAAATCTTCTGTATAAGGCATAGCTGAAATCTGCAACAACTGAACACAGAACAGTGTTAAATCATTGCTACAAATGATTGTGCACTTTCAAACATTTAAAAAGAACACTGACAAAAAACAGAGAGGAACCTACCAATGAAAACAATGACGAGGATTCGAGTCACTCCAAAAATAAGTTTCATTTGTTTGAAATTCTGTGAAAAGGAAGAAAGGGAATTAGACGAAGGTATTTCCTCTAAAAGTTCATTTGTTTATCAACCAATAAACTAAATGTGCGCTGCACAATGTACCCTGTGTCACAAAAGTATTTAAATTACTTTTACTTTTTCACATTTCATCACAAAAATACGGCATTCAGTCCCAAGAGTGAGTGGTTGATAAAAACCACGTTTCACTGGTATTCAGAAATATCTCCCTAAACTGAAAGAAGATGAAAATGTAATTACCCTGCCTTAAGCAATTTCCACATGGAAGAATGTGAACAGATCCTCCTGTCAGGGTGTTTCTCAACTTACCACCACTGCATTTATGAAATAACCTCCATACAGGGCATAAACGCCCCCAGAAGCTCCAACCAAAACAGTGAGAGGATCAAAAATGGAGCTGGCCAAAGACCCTGGGGGGAAGCGCACAGATAAATCGTCGACAGGAAGTACAGCTCTAATTCAAACTTGAAAACAGGCTTCAAGCATTTTTAAACAGCACAAAATAGTTTTATTTCTAGTAGGTGTCTCAATCTCAACTGTCTGTTTCAGAAGAAGAGAAGCTCAAAATAAATTAGAGAAAGATGACGCTCACCTGCAAGGACACCAGCCAGGTAAACCAATCCTACTTCATGCCCTTTGTGGACCATTTCCAGTGGGATACCAAGCAAGAGCTGCATCACCAAGTTGCAGAAGATGTGCCCCACACTGAAAAAAAGCTGCAGGTTAAAAAACACTGAACCAACATGCAGCTATAAAAAGGTGACTGCATCCCAAACTTGTGTTTCAAATGATATGAAACACAAGTTTTTTATCAAGTCCTAGTGCAAAGCAAAACAGCTATTCTGAAAGACAGCATTCTTTCTAATATTTTTTTACCCTCCTTTGAACTATGTAACTCCTGTTCTTAGCTAATGCATTTTCCTCCTTGGTAAATATGCTTGGTTTTCCTGTGCATCTTGTACTCACAGGATATGAAATTTTCTACTTGGTAGTTGGTAGTTTATGATTATATAAATGTACATAAAAATATATGTATATACATTTTCTTTTTTGCTAATTTTGCTCTTTTACAATGCAAATGCAACCGTTGCACAGATGTTTTCCAGCACGTTAAATTGAAATGATATCTAAAGAGATAACTGAGGGTGGTTTTGCACTTCCTCACCATTGACTGAAGCTGTCACTTCATCTTTGATGTATTTAAAATTTCTGAATATCCTCACCCAGCGTGGACGAACATGTAGGAAAAGAACCGCCATGCTTCCTGTCTTTTGGAAGGATCGTAGGTGAGAGGACTTTTCCAGATGCTTTCATCCAGGGTCACCCACTGCTTATGAGGCTTCCACACGGCATAGTAGATAAACACTGCCAACTATGGGAGACACAAGCAGTGGACCCTCAATAACATTTTTAAAACATTACAAAATAAATATATCAGGAGCAAAATTGAATGCAAAACAGCTGTGAAGACATGACAGCAAGAAGGAAACAGACTCAGATGGTAAGGATTGTTTAACTAAAATGTGGGGCCTTTCAAGATTACTCCTAAAATTTCTAACAGTGTGTTCTCACAGACATCTTGGAATTGTTTACAAAAAGGTGCACACTGACAGACTATCACTCCAGCATATTCCAAATCCAGCAATTATCAACATGTTAAATGGTGAACAAAACTTAAGATAAAAATGAGTGAGCTCTTCATATTTTTAGACAATATTTTATACCATACTTTTATTTATAATTGTGTTTAAATTTGGGTTACTCTATCTATAGTTACCTCAGTAAATTAAAGACACAGACCTACAGTTTAAGTTAAAGTACACTTATTGTTTGTAACAAGAGTTTTTATTTAAGTATTTTTTATTTGCTGTGCAATTTGGAGGTCAAATAAAATACAATAGACAATCTATTTTGTCACTGAAAGTACTTTGTTCTAGTATATACAGATTACTTGTTGTAAGTGTTGATTTCAGAAGCTTCATGTTGTGAAAAACTGATTTATGCTTCTCCTTTCTGAATTTATTTTAATTTTATTTAGTTTTGTAAGATTCTTTAAAATGCCATAACCTGCTAAGAACCTTAGATTTTGTCTCTCCAACAACATAATTTTGAAAAATTAGATCAGCTATTATTATCATTTACATGTTCTTGAGTAACTGTCATTTTTTGACTGGCAACTCTTTACTTTCACTTGTGGAAAGATATAGGAAAGTTACACTTATTTTACTTTAATACAATTTGTAGCTCTCCTACTCTCCTCTGTACATGATATTTATAGCAAAGGCCTGACTTTTCTAGTATTAGCGTGAGATTATGCTACTGTAATAAATAAATATGTGTTTGGACATTAGAAGGAAGCAGCACAGATATTAATATTTAAAGCTGCTGGATAACTTTCCAGTTTGAGGATTTTTATCCCAGCTTACCTCTGCAATACTGATGCCAATGATGAAGATCGGAGGTGGGCAGCAGTTAGCACGTTGCATGTACCGGTCCCGAAACTCTGGTGGGATGATCAAATTCTGGAACTTCCTAAAGCATCCCGTCTCTTTCCCTTGATCTATCTCCGGCTCACTGTTGTCCTCCTGCTCTGCCTCCTCATAGTCAATGTCATTCATCTTTGTTGCTACAGTCGTGCACTACTAAGCTCTGAAATGCATAAGGAAAAGAAAAAAAGACATTTAAACAGGAGGTGGAAGCACATAAGTTCAATTAAATATTTCCTTTTCATGTGTTGATGCATCATTTCTCACTTTTTGAATAAATTTTGAATTTATTTACAACAAGTAATTAATAATTTTAGAACTGTCTTATTATTTCTAATAGCCGAGGTCATAACACATTTCTGATTATTATTTATATATATGAAAGGCTATTTTACATGTTGATGCCACATTGCTGTTGGCTTATACACAAATACCATCAATATTTCAACATAGGACTTGGCAAAATGGTTTAAAAGTATCCAACGCAATCAGTCTATCAACAAATACTGATTAGGTTTCTGTTGCTTTAAATGTCTGAAATACTGTGATACTGTGACGTGATGTTTCTGGTTTCATCCACAATTTCTTCTCTAGCCATTGTTCTCATTTTCTCTCCACACTCCACTCCTTTGCTTTTTCATTTTTAAGCTGTGATGAGGCACATGGTGAAACCTGAAACTGCTGGTTTGCAAGTTATTCAACAGAGTGTCTAGCTTACCAAAGAATGAGTGAGTTAGATGAAGTCAGCCATTTTGTGTCGCTGGTTGTAAGAGGTTGAGCAACAAAAGAATTCTGTGCAGCTCTGGATCAAAGTTCTGTGAAATTATTAATACTATTCCTGATTTATTGCCTACCCCACCAATCAACTAGCCAGGGATTGGAATTTAGTTTTTGAGGTAGAGCTAAGATGGTTTCCAGTGTGCATTTTATATAATTATGATGTTACTTAAATTTATATTATTAAAAGAGGAATAAGAAATAAAAATACATTTAGTATGACTGATTTGGTCTGTGCGGACATGGATTTTGAACCAAACCTGCACCGTTGCTATTGCTCAGACTTTAAGCGTGCAGCCCAGAAGATAATATCTATAATATATATTATCTGCTGATAATACTGCATATACTATTCTTTCTAGGCTAATTGTGTTAAGTAGAATTCTTTGCATTTTGTGACATGGCTTCTTCTCCGGTGGATCATCAGTGTGTGAGGAAGGCAACTGTAGAAGTGACTGAATAGCTTTAAAAGAGGAAAGTTAGAGAATTATGCTACACTGTATCATATTTGAATGCAGGAAACAGTAGACTGTTTCAAACAAGACAGTGATAGTAGTCTTCAAAGCAGCCCTTCAAAGTAAAAGTAAATAATAGATCAAATAAAAACTCAAGAACAAGAAAATTTCTGTGCTTAAGCTTAGCGAAGCATAGATGAAATTATAGTAAAAGGGAACTAATCTTAAAAAAGTCTAAAGTGAAATATATTGTTAATTCAACTTCTAACGACAGAAAACCTGGAATTATTTTATAAAATCATAATGTAAACAAGGGTGAAATAACTATTGTATTACTGCTTTAAGAGATTAATTGTAACTTTTTTGTTACAAGAAAGATATTTAATAAAAGGAGGTTCAGCGTAAATAATTAAAGCACTTGTGTAAATCATGTAAAAAGCTCCATTTAAAACGATTAGCACCTTTCTAAAAGATATTTACTGTGAAACTGAAGCTCCCCACGTTGCTTCTGTTCCCTACAGTACGTCCAGTAGCTTTCCCCACGTTGAGGCATTTCCTGTTTGTTAAGCTGCTCCTATTCTTTTGATGATAATATTGACGCTAAGTCGTACGGCCGTCAACAAGAAATATACAGAACTCCCTTTTGTTTTAGGCTCTTCCTGGTAGGAAAAAAAAGGTGAGACCAACTCACCTGAACTTTCAGCAGGAACGCGTCTGTTGGCTCCAATTAGAAAACAGTAAAAAAAAATTCCTACGACAATTCAAATGTAAAATTAATTCACAGGTTGAGCTCGAGACAAGAACAAAGCCGGGGACTACAGTGTTTTCAGACGACCGACGGAGCCGCTTTCTTTTTCGAACTGGCCCCAAGTGAAGAGGCAAAAAAATCGGTCGGAGATAATTATAGCCTTTGCTTTCTTTTCTCCCTCCAAGACGCTTCCTTCCTCCTAACAAACAAATCACGAGTGACGGTCGTTCCTGGTTCCTTTCTGACACTTGTCCACAGCTTACACAGTACCTAGTGACTGTACTACTCCAAACGTGCAGTCTGCAGCAGTTTACCTGCTCTCCCTTGCCACACCTGTGGTCAGTGACGTCACGGACCACGAAGGGCGCCAAAAAACAAAAGCGTACATATATCTTCATCATGTACAGGTATTGATCACTCGTCCAAAAGAAAGGCATACGTTTTAATTGTTTGCACAACAATAAAGAAATTATATTACAGTGAATTAAAACCACAAATGTGTTAATAGTGCAGCAACTACCCGAGTGCACCACATGGTGGCAGTAAAACTCATAATTAGAAATGACGGACGTTTAAATGTTTTTAACCCTTTTTCTAACAATGCTAAAAATGTACATTTTTGCAAATTTTGTTTTGGCAGTAAAATTTCCAGGAAATGTCTCAAGTATAAGAGCTTCGATCCTTTTTTCCAGGAGTAGTTGAACTTGACTTTTCAACATTTGGTTAATGATTTTTGTGCTGAAGAGATTTGCCAAAGTTTAATCTGATGATTTATCTTTGCCATACAACTTCTAAAACCCAATAACTTCTACTGATATTTTGCCCTCTATTTTAAAATCTTAATGCCTTTTACAATATTAATTTCTTAATATTTACATTTTCATATATATTCTAAAGGCACTATATATATTTGGCCAAAATGTGTTTATGATACATTAATAAACAAATAAAAGCAGAAATAAAAAAAAAGCCAAACATGGTTTGTGTCTTGCAAGTTACAATTTTCACTGCATTTTATTGAGATTTCAATCATAGCATATAAAGGTTTACTCCAATTCATCTCATTCCACTATTAATGCAGCTGTTCCATGAAGAGCCCAGAGGTTTGTCAGAAAAACAAACCACAAGACCAAAGAATTTATAAGACGAGAAAATCTGTGAAAAAGCTCAAGAAAGAGCTAAGTTATAAAACAATATTATGATTTTTATTGGGCACTCTGCAATAAATAACCAAAAATAGGCATGGACATCCACCTAAACTGTTAGGTTTTGCATAAAAAGCATTAGACAAGCAAACAAAATTTTGTGCTGAGAAAAACTGATACCCGGAGTACGCCACTCTCCAATCCACAGTCCTTGCAGCATCCTGCTGTGGGAAACTGATCACAGTTAATGAGAAGATGGATGGAACTAAAGGCAAAACATTTGTGAAAGAATATATTAAATTGAAGTTCACTTTACAGTAGGGCAACAACCTTAGAAAAGCTGAAGCAACAACACAGCAGCAAAACATGGTTCAGAATATTGACTAAGAATGGCAGGATACCAATGCATACTTCACTTGTTAGGTTTCTACTAAAGAAAAGAAAGGGATAATTTCCAAATTATTTATGGGTCCATGTTAGCATGTCGGATAATATGTGCCGTTTGTTTTTATAATAAACAAGCAGAGGAGCATGAAGAGTTAATTTTGTAAGCTCTTTGAAAAAGTAAAGTTGGAGCTTAGATTTTAAAGGCTAACATTACATTAAATAATATTTTCAACAGAACCAATGTAAATATAATTAGACCTAAAATAATGCAAAATGTTTATTTTGACAAAACAGAACACAGACTTTCTGGTATTCTTCAAAACTAGAATGTCATCAGCATCAGTCACCAAAGACTTGTTTACTTTCCTGGCTGATTTGCAGGAAGCCTTTGGTCAGATGGTTTAGTCAGTGGTCACTACTGCATGAAATCCGAACAATTACCACATTTGGGAATATTTACTAAAAGAATGTGTTCCATCTCTGTAATTTATAGTAATGGGGGAGGAAAAGACTTGTAAAAATCCACAAATTCATAAAGATCTATTTTGTTTGGAGAGATTTCTATCAGACTCGCATTTCAGAGTCCATCTAATGGTCGTCGTTGAGCCAGACTCGCGTAAAATTAATTTCTAAAAGTGGCAGTAATGATTTCAAGGCATTTTCACCAAGCCAAGAATTTTATCTCTGGTAAAATAGCTGAAATAGGATTCTTGTGGCTTATCAATGTTATTAGTCTATTTTGCTTCTTTACTGAAACAAACCATATGCATGCAAACTCTTAGCTCATAAAACTATTGTTTTAGCACTGCGTTAATCTGCAACTGAGTATTTTAGAGCAAAGAAAATTAGGTAATGGTACAAGAGCTTGAAAAAGAAAAACTGTACAATTTACCAAAATGAACAATCCAGTACACCAAGTTTTTAATCACAGAACTTTTATTTTTTTTTTTTAAAAGGGAGAAAAATCCACATTCTCAGGAAGAGTTGTGAGGGAGGAGGTGAAGTGGGTAGAGCAGGGGATAAAAGTGGAACATGGTGAGAAGCAGGAGCCATTAAACATAGCTGCTGGGAGGTTATACAGCATAATCACACAAGCCAATAAGCTTTTCTACAGCGCCAGCTAAAGATTTTTTTTTTTTTTTTATTAACATCTGCTTTTTTTTCCAGGAAGTCTGGTAAAAGATGTTAAAAGCAAAAAGCAGAGAAAGAAAAAGGAAAGAAATAAAAAAGCAGGCTTCATACAGAGTTCTAATTATTTGGCCAGCAGCAATAGTTTTAAAGTAAGAAACTAATTTTTGGATTAAAAACTGGATAAACCATGGCACCCAAACTGAGCGTGGAGAGGGAGAGGGGAGGGGAAGGTTAGGGAAATAAAATTTAAAATCAACAGGGAGGAGGCAGAAGAAGAGCAGCCATCATGTGAGAGAAAGCCAGGATCACATTGATGTAAGCTCAGGAGACATCTGAAACAGATAAAAATAAGATCACATGAGCTCACCAGCTTCAGGAAGAACCACGCAACACAGAAACTGATACTTACAACTTGCGGGCCGGGCTCCATATCTTCGCATGATCTGGTCTTGCGTGAATTTCACAAAAGATTCATATTGTTCTGAAATTAGAGATGAAAGATGTTTTAAGAGATGTAAAGCTCATTTGCAAGTATTTTGTAACCAGTAGCTTGTCTAAATCTTTCCCTCAATATCTTTAAAAAAAAAAAAAAAAACACTCAAACACCTAACTGCTGTTTTCCACCATTTTGCGTGACCCATTTATTCAGATTATACCAGACAAATAACAGCATTTATAAAGTCCTTTCATGGACATCAGTGAGCTTTAAACACAACAGCTGAAAGAAATAACAGTGCCTAGTAAAAGTATTCATATCACCTAAAGTTTTTTTTTGCATTTTCTCACCTTACTGCCACAAATCTCAAAGTATTTTATATTATATATCAACCTCAAGTAAAACAAAATAATTGTATGTGTTGACTTTCCACAAAAAGAAATTAGAAAACAGTGTGAAAAATCTGCATTAGACAATCAGTCATCATCATAAAAAAAAAAAGATTGAAACCATTTCATTGTGGGTCAGGCTCTATATTACTGTATATCCTCCCATCTGAGCTGTAAATGTCTTATCTTGGTCCTGCAAGTTTGCAGCTGGACCAAAAATCTTTCCCATTTTCAGATGATTGACTGAACAGTGCTTCCTGAGATGCTTAAAGCTTAAGGTGTGGTCTGAACTGTCATGGAGATGCTGAATTTAGAAGATTAAATTACAGATGGATTACTAACAAATGCAAACCACACTTTTCAGATTTCCTTCCATACTTTGGAATGAAACTAAAGTAACTTCAAAAAAGTGTTGACATTTATCTTCACCTGCGAGTTTTGTGTTAAGGATCTGTTCGTACTCCTCCCTGATCTTCTCCTCGTGGTCTTTGAGCAGGCGCTCACACAGGTAGCTGACCTGCCTCAGTGTGAACGAAGGTTGGTCCTTTCTTGAGGCACCTGAGAAAAACAACAGATAGTCATGAAAAAAATAATAATAATAATTTATAGCTTTTCTTCCTGTTCAACACAAGACAGGCAGCCCTGATGCTGGCACTGTCTCAGCACCTCGAGCGTCTCGGTCACTCTGAAACTGGAGCCAGTGTTAGCCTTCTGATTTATCACTTTATGGTCTTTGAGGTCTGCTGTGAGCCAGGTAGAGTGAAATGTGAGTAAATCACAGTCAGCTCAGAGCCAGAATGAGGCTGGGGTAAAAACAGCTCTGTCGTGGTGAAATACTGGACACCAGAGGATTACATTACATCACACACACACAATAATTGACCTTTATGCTTTTAACGGTTTGATTTCCATGGAATTTGGAACAAAAATACATTTCTTCCTCCCACACTGCTAAAATAAAGTATTTACAACATTTTATCACTGGTGGTACATTTTCTCTGAACATTGTGAGGCCTGTAACTCAACATAACCACCATCTCTAAGGTCAAGCTTACAAATGCCTCAAAATTTAGAAAATCCATTTAAAGTACCAAAGGCTGTTTAGGAGCAAAACATCCAATCAACATGAATACCTTGTCACCTTTTATAAAGATCTTGGTTATAAGCAACAACATTTTTAAAACTCTGTGTCTATATAATCATTGCTTTATTTCACAAGCAGATTTTATTCCTCTTCATATCTGAGACAGGCCTGCAAGTAATTTGTCACATTCATTTAGTACACTCTTATATTATCCACTTTTCCTACTGACCAAGTTATCATATTAAGCATTCTTTTGCCCACATGTTGTTCCATGAAATGTTTCAATTAGGAGCTGCAACCTCGTTTGCAACAATGCTACTAAATACTCACATTAAGTTCTTCACCACCACATAGTTACAGCTATACTCTTCTCCTCCTCCACCCTTTTCTTACTAATACAATTCTTTCACTACTAAAATACGTTGCACTTTAGGTATTATGCAACATGTAATGTAAAAGTGTTTTGAGTAGGTTATTGGGTGTGTGTCCTACCAGGTGGGGAGCTAGGAGCGGTGAGGGAGGTACTGGGGTTGGAAGAGTCACTGGAGCTGCAGGCCTCAGTCTGGTTGAAGACCCCCTCCAGCTGCCGTCGCCTCTGGATCCGGCTGTACTCCTGGCGAAGGTTCTGGAAGATTTGCTCTGGAGAAAGTCGACAGAAACAATGTGAAAAAATGATCAAAACAAAAATGAATAACTATGAACCCCCCAAAAATATGAACTTTGACACCAAAGAAAACGTTTCCTTTGGAAAGA